TTATCAATAGGGTAGGTTAGGTTAGGTTAGGTTATCGGGTTTTGTTCAAGTGACCACCCTCTTTCGAACCCCCTTACCTCCACCCGCTTGAAAATATTTTTTTTATTGAATTTTATTTGAATTATAGTGTATGAAAATTGTCAAAACAATCAACTTTCAACCCCCATAACTTCTTATGGGGGTGAGACCGCCGCAAATTTTTTATGGGGTTTTACTGAGGTGACCACCCTCTTTCGATTTCTCTACCCCCACCCCCATCTAACCCCCATAACTTTTTATGGGGCTGAGACCGCCACGAACTTTTTATAGTGCAGTGGTGCGGGAGACCTCCTCTATCGATCCCACCCACCCCCACTCCCCCAAATCATCTGGACATTAACCAAAAATTGAATTAAAGTAGAAGTATGAGTATGTCTATTTTCGGTTATTTTTGTTCGTTTTTTAAAACTATAAGTTACTGATAGGATACATTTTGGTTATCGTGCGTAGAGTTAATAAATTCCCTGGAGACAAAGGAGAGATACAAATGGGGTGAAGAGCACCGGTCAGTAGTGCAGGACTAAGCGTGTGCGACCTCTTTTGGGGCCTTTATGGAAGGAGTGTGGGATAAAATCCACCCCAGTTGAGCATAAGCTCGACTAAATTGAATCAAAAGCGTTTAATGCCAAAAGCAAGGTTCTATCAGCTCGTACATACCGCGGTTAATGCCATGATATTACACAATTATACATTTACATTACCTTTTGCCCTGCTTCGTAGTCGCTCTGATAAATTTAATTTAAACAAACGCAATAATGGCGTGTCAGATGATGATATTTCATTACAGCTCAAAACGCTCGAACATAATCTTACAATTTTGAGTGGGGGCTTTGTTACATGCCGCAGCTTTATTCGGACCAATCGAAACGGTGTAAACGAGAGAAACAACAAATCACTTAATTATACCATCCATTCTGTCAGCGAAGAAATAATCAAAACTAATCCTCGTAACGTCACTTTTACATTCTGAATTTCATCATCAAACATTTTTTTAAACAAAAAATACCGTTTAAAGTACTTGGCAAACAAAACGGTTGCAAATTGTTCTATGAAAGCTGAAAATCATTTGCTAATTAAAATGATTCGCTGCAAATATTGCAGCCGCAAAACTATTAGGTTTCATCTGTTCACTTTTCCAGCAAGAATAACTAAATTATGAGGGTATCGTGAAATTTACTATCAGGAAGAACCTGCCTCTTTTGTTTTTGAGTCCCTATTAGTATCTACAGCGGTTTCTGGAATCCATCGGAACCAATATCATCATCATCATTAGGTCGTCAGTCCTAAGACTGATTGGACACGCACCTCCGCTCTTTCCTATTCTGAGCTAATCTTCGCATTTCCCTAAAACTAGAACAACCCTTCACTATTTGCGAATAGTAATGTAATCTAGGTCTACCTCTACCCCTCCTAACTCCCGTTTCTGCCTCTAATATGTCTGACTAAACCTTCATGACTGAGAAGGTACCCTACGAACCTACCTCGCCTATTCCTTATTGACTTCCATAGAGTTCTCTGTTCTCCTATCCTTTCTAATAGCTCTTCATTTCTAACCTTCTCTATCCTCGGTATTCCGTCCATGCTTCGCACCCATACAGCGCCGCGCTCCAAACATACACCTTTAACAATCTTTTTCCAATTTCTAACTTAACTGTTCGCGAGCATAAAAGTGACTTCTTTTTATTGAAGGAAACTCGACCCTGCGCTATCTTCTGCTTTATATCCCTACTACTCCTTCCGTCCTGACTTAAATGACTTCCTAGATACCTAAAATCGGTCATTTTTTGCTAATTTTTCGTCTCCTATCTTTATATTCGCTCTCTTCCTACTTTGTCTTCCCTTGCATACGAGTATTTAGTTTTACTTTTATTTATATTCATACAGTACTATTTAGTCAGTACCGCTTGCATTTTATCCTTGCTACATGTTGATACTGCTATATTATATGCAAATCTAAGCATACTAATCTTTTGCCCCTGTATATCTATCCCTACAGTTGTACTGTCTTTAATGGTGTTGATCGGAACTAATAAACCAAAGTAAATTCATAATTAGGTAAAATTACTGCGATACTTGTTTCTTTAAAAGCATCCACCTGTTTATACGTTGAGTGGTGTGTAAAAGCTATTAAATTTTATAAGCACAGCATCGAAAAGTTAAAGTAATAAACAAGAACGGCTCCAGAATGTCTGGCCGATTGCCCTTGGTTTGCTACCTGGACCTGGCCGTCTATACTGCCATTATCCTTTTCTGTTTTTCGTATAGGTAAATCCAGCTATATAGTTCTCTTTCTTTAACAATGCCGAATCCTAACACATTCTTTTGGCGGTAAATGTAGGCGTAAAGTCTACCCCTCGTGCAATCAGTTACATCCGGTTAATTGTTCTTTTCACACCTGTGAACTCTTGAAAGTCACTCACTAAAACTAAAATACTCATTCATACATTAGATAGATCGAAATATCCCTTACAACTCGAAGAATAAGTTAAACGGGCAAATTTCGAAAACTTTTCGAAAATTTCAGACGCAATTAGTAAGCTATTGGCTGGATAGTTGGATAGAATCAATTAAGGCGTAAAGAATTAACGGCTAATGAGGTAAACGGTTGTAGTAAAATCTCGTTTACAATGTCTGTATGATCAATAAATAAATCATTTCTGTATCATAGTTGATGATGTGACAAGGATAGGTTTAACGTGAACACGCAGAGGAGCGTGTGTATTGCACATACCAAGAGTCTGTTTAATGTGTCAGATGTTCGACAATTAATTGGGGTGGAGAAGAAAGGTAGATATAAAACATCAGGGGATAACAGCCACAATCTAGGGAAGTAGTACTATAAAAGATGGTGTAATATTTTACAGTGTGATTTTATAGTTACAGCAGGCTGATTTTGAATATTAATTTAACTGCTTTTTAAAGTATGTCGTATACGTTTTATGGTACATTAACAATAAGAATGAATATCGCTGTAAAAGTGACGAGCTCAATGCTTAATCGACGATCATTTTATGTACGCAATGTGTTTTATGTGAGGTAAATTATTTTTAAATTTCTAGTTAATTGTTTAAGATGGAATTACGACCGGAATTTTATGTTCATCAATTTGAAAACCGATTTTATTGTATTACTTTATTTACTTTTAAACCGTTAAGCCGGTCCTTTTTTTTACATTTGAATGAGCAAACAACAAACCAACACAATGTTCCAACAGGATAGACAATGCACATACCAAACTTATAACATAACAATAAAAATTACATCAACACTTACTCACATGTGTCGGTTTTTTCAACTCTTAATTTTTCTGAACTGTTCAAATTACACACATAGGTACGCTTCATTCTGGTCAAATTACTTACATCCGTTACATTTTCGTTAAGTAAGTCTTTTCGTGTAATGATAATGATCAAGCTAATTTTCATAGTTATCCAAACATTTTGTGAGTAAAGGTTATGGCCATGTAAAGATTTGTACATCATGATTATACATTAAACAGTACGATCTTAATATCCTGTCCGTTGTGATTATAATGTTGGTTATACAATTCTTTGTACGTCAAGATTACGTTGTGGGTCGAATTAAATGACAGTAATGTAGATCT